TTGAGAGTATGCCAAAGATGTCTACATGTGCTTTGTGGACCTTGAAAACGCTTACGACCGTGTACCCCGAGGAAAACTGTGGGCAGTGCTGCAGGAGTATGCGATCAAGGGTCAGCTACTGCGAGCCGTTCAGTCCCTTTACAGCGATTGCAGAAGTTGCGTCCGAGTGAGCGGGAGGTGTTCGGATTGTTTTCTGGTACGCGCTGGACTCCGGCACGGTTGTGTCCTCTCACCTTTCCGGTTCCTCGTGTACATGGACACGATCTGTAGGCGCAGCCTCGGCGTGGAGGGGGTCAACATCGGTGACGTCGCGGTGAGGATGCTTCTCTTTGCCGACGATGCCGTTCTTTTGACCCGCTCTCGACAGGAGCTCCAGAGCGTGCTCGATCGGTTCGACTCCGAATGCACTGCGGCCGGAATGAAACTGAGCGTCTCCAAGACACAGGTCCGAGCAGGAGAAATCCTGCTCGGTGCGCCCTGCATGTCAGTGAGTTCCAACTGGAACAGGTGGAGAAGTTCAAGTATCTCGGAATCTGGTTCTCGAGTGAGGGGCGATACGGAAACGAGATCGACAACCGCATCTCCAAGGCTTCTGCAGTTTTGCGGGAACTTTGGCGAACTGTGGTTACCAGGTCGGAAGTTTCTCGGGAAGCAAAACTCTCGGTTTTTAAGAGCGTTTATCTCCCACCCTCACCTATGGTAATGAACTTTGGGTAATGACCGAAAGCACCAGTTCGCCAATACAAGCTGCCGAAATGAGGTTCTTGCGTCGAGTTGCTGGCGTAACGCGCCGTGATCGATGCGAAACTCTGCCATCCGCGAGAGTCTCCACGTCGAGCAACTGCTTCTCCGGATCGAGAGGTCTCAGGCCAGGTGGTTTGGTCACGTCTGCCGCATGCCGCCTGAAAGGCTCCCAAGAGTAGTCCTCAAGGCCAAGATGACCGGCAAGAGACCTGTCGGTAGACCTCGTATAAGGTGGAGTGATTACGTCGCTCGTCTTTGTCGCGAGAGGCTCGGCATCCCACCAGCTGAGCTTCAGTCTGTCGCCCAGGATCGAGATCACTGGAGGACGCTCCAGGGAATGCTCAAACTGCGACCCATTAATTTGGGAAAAGCGAGAAAGGAATTGTATGTATGTATGAAATGAAGTATGGATCTGAAGGGAGTGATGGTATGATAATGATATAATGATGAATAATGAATTGAGAGCATCAAGCCAGGAACGCATGTTATCAAGATAGTGATATCAAGAGGCGATTTCACCTATTTCGATATCACGTGTCGAGGTCGAGCGTTCCTTTATTTTAGGGTATTCCTAATCCTCTTCAAGCTAAATATTTTGGTACTTTTGCCATTTTTTGCGTATCCTAGTTGATTACTGTCTAGTACCGAGCATCAACATTGCCCCCCACCTTTTTGTTTGTCCATGACAGCATCCAGTTTTTTCTTAAGCGGGTTTTACAAAAGGGGCAGCCACTACTTCGTCATCTAACGCATTCCACGCGTTCACCGCTCTGCAAGTAAATAATTCCTGTCTCGACCTGAGCAGCACCTGCGGTTTGCGCAACCTGAGGCGGTTAGTTCTCGTTCTCTTGCTGCCATCAAACTGGAAAAACCTACCACACTCGACATTATCTATTCCTTTAATTATCATGAAAGCCTGGATGAGATCGCCCTCCTTAACCTTCGCTCGAGCGGGTACAGTCCCAACATTTCTAAATGCTTCTCTTATGAAAGTCCCCCGACCTCCTTAGTCATTCTTGTGTCCCTCCTCTGTACTCCCTCGAGCGCTAACAAATCTCCCTTATTTGTAGGCCTCCAAAGCTGAATGAAATATTCCAACTGGGGTCTTATCAGCGGCGCATACAACAGAAGAATAACGCGCGAAGTCCTATTTGCAACCGAACGATGAATGTAGCCTAGAATCCTGTTGCATTTGGCCACCGTCGCATGAGCGTGGGAGGAAAACTTGAGGTCCTCATCAATACAAACTCCTAAATCTCTCTCTCCATTTGCCTCATCTAGTTTAACATCGCCGAACGTGTCGAGAGACCTAACGTTGTTTCCACCGACGTGCAGAACTTTACTCTTAGTTATATTAAGCCTCATGAGCCATTTCTTGCTCCACTCATCCAAAAGACTTAAATCTCGCTCGGCTCTAGCCCTATCCGCCTCCCCCCTCATGGTAAAACCTATCTTGGTGTCGTCGGCAAATTTACTTATTTTATCCTCTATGCCAAGATCAAAATCTTTTATTTAGACCAAAAACAGAAGCAGTCCAAGAACCGAGCCTTGAGGGACACCGCTTGCGACTCCGACCCCCTTCGAAGCTTCCCCATTTATCATCATACGTTGCTTTCTTCCTGCCAACCAGCTACCGATCCACTCGATTGTCCTACCCTGGATCCCGTGCGCCTCCAGTTTAGCCCTCAACATCTTGTGAGGAACGGTATTGAAAGCTTTCGTGAAATCTAAATATACGATGTCCACAGGATTCCCCTTATCCCTCTCTTACGTCGCCCAGTCGTAGAATTCGAGCAAGTTGATCGGACAGTTTCGACGCCTCCTAAAGCCGTGTTGAGAGTCCCGAATGAGCGCCTTTCCTTCGAGGAAATCCAAGAGATGGTCCCTTAGAATGCTTTCCATGATCTTCCCTGGGATACTCGGGAGACTTACCGGCCCGTAATTTCCTGGATTACTCTTTTCGCCTTTCTGAATGGTCGGCCCAACATTTGCTAGTCTCCAGTCCTTAGGTACTTCCCGCGCGAAAATCTGCCCTCAAATATAATTCCTAGGGGAACTGATATATCTCTCGCGGTTTCCTTAGTGACTCTCGCAGGAATCCCATCGGGGCCGGTCGTCTTGCCCACCTATAACTTCCCGATCATACTCACGATCGTCTTCTCGGTGATGGAAATATCCTCGATGCGCGCCCTCCAGTGGAGGAGGTTAGTCGGTGCCGAGTCGGATTCCACAGTGAAAACGGAAGGTAATAACTCGTTAAGTATACTGGCTATATCCTTATTACTTGCAATCAACTCCCTCTTTCGTTCATTAGCCGCCCGATCGGCTGTTGGCACCATGGATATACCCCATCCCTTCTGTCTCGGGCTTTTTCAGATTTGCATTGTTCCTCCTCTTAATCTATTATTGTTCTAGGCGTTACAGCTCACACATCTGGAGCTTGCATGCAATGGTTGCAGGAGCATTTGGCCAACCGTGTCCTTTCTCACAAATCTGACTTCCCATGGCCAGCCAGGTCACCAGAACTGTTCCCTCTGGAATATTTGCTCTGGGGCTATATGAAGGAGATCTTTGAAGAAAAACTTGCAACGATTCTTGACCTAAATGATGCAGAGTCGCGCGTTATTTCAGGTGTTACATGTGAAACTCTTCAGGCGGTAGTTGAAAACTTAGCCATCAGAGTTCGCTTTTGTCTACAAAACGGAGGACAATCTGAACACACATGAGCACAAGAAACTTGTAAGTTTTCTAATCATTTAGAGGCGTTTTTCTCATTCTTATCTTTATTAGAAACAAAATACCACATTTGCAAAATCATGTAACATTTTTTGGTCCTCCCTGTATAAGGCATTCGTTACAAACAGAAAGAAGAAATCCTGAAGCCAATCAATGAAGCGATTCAATATAAGGGACGAGAACGTCACCGACCCAGAAATGAAACCGAAGCCATCACTTCAACTGACTTAGTTCTCATGTTCCCCTATAACCACTTTACTCCACACCGTTTACTTTTGTGATTTCCAAACACATAAAAACCAAGCAGCATATGGAAAGCAACGCAAACTCTACCGCTGCGAACGAGAATCAAACCGAATTTACTTTCTTGTTAATTCTTGACAAGTGGAAACAGGAGTAAATGAGTACAGAATCCATATAAAGAATTCCACGGTTTAATAATTTGCCAAGTAATTAGGATATCGTAGTCCTTGCCGTTTTCTGGTCTCATAGAGCTCACAAGCACTTGGTGTGTTCTTTCATGAATTTCCTAATCTCAATTAGAATAATAGGAACAATTACTCTGTCGAAAATCATTTGTTCGGTGATCACGTGGGGAAGTACCTCGAGCCGGAACACAAAGAAATCTTTAAAAAATTGGCAGCTTTTCACATGGAGCCTCACATCTGTATCCTCTTTGAAAATATTTTTGGCATGCAACTATTTTTTTGCTGATTGGTTGGGAGGTACTCCACCGATCGGGAGCGCGCGGAGCATCAGTGGAAACAAACTCATTGACTGAACTTCCTTTTGGTGGATCTGAACATTCTAAAAGTTCCTTTCATGAAAGTAAATAGACCACTAATGGTCCTGTCCTGTCCGTATGTCACAATTTGGTTGTCTAATGAAAGCTAAGATGATATTGGCCTGACCAATGCAAAACTTGGCAAGCAGGTAGATATGAGCAAGAAAACAATTGAGTTTGTTTTGTGGCGAATTTACACAAAAATTGCATTTTTATTGCAAAATTAGGATTTGAAATTTTATCACTGAGGGGAAGGCATGAGTACCTGTGAGTCCTTCAGGATCTGGATCAAAGTGCGCATGCGCGTACGACCCAGGCTTTGGGTATCAGCAACCAGAGCTGTCAGTTCCCTACCGACCTTCATGGCAGATGGTTCAAAGCACGTACAACCCTCCATCCTCCCATCATCATTCCATGGACATCATGGGTATTTTTTAAACATAAGTGAAAAATGATGTCGATGGGCCAAGACCGGAAAGAGTTGCAGTTTGTTAAATTAGGTGCCAAAATGTGGGTCTCCTAAACTAAAAGGAGGACCAATACTGGGCTGGGCCTGCCCAGCTGGCTTATTACGTGGTACAAGTAGTGGGTCGTTCAATTCGCTTATTGAGGGGGATATGGTTATCAGTTGGAAAAAGACTCATTGCAAGTGTTTCGAAAGCTTTACATGGAAATTCCATGCAGTTTTGCTTGCCCTCTTGATACAAAGAAAGAGTAGAGTTTTACCGGTTCAACTTCATTCCAGGATTCCATTCTCAATAGGAGCAGGAGTCTTTCCTGCGCGATGAGAGTTCTTTTAGTAAAATATTCGTGCAAATCCCATCGCGTGTGCATACCTGGAGAACTTGGAAATTGAATCAGAGTTACACACAACATCTTAGTCAAATAAATGAACTAAATTACAAAGCCAAAATAAAAGTTTTAAGACATGGCAATACAGATGTTTTGGTGTTCATGGGGTGGGAGGTGAGAGAATGGAGAGAAATGCGTTTCCTTCGTTCCTTCGTTAAGAAAATAAACCTGTTTTAGGATGATTGCTAATTCTTTCTGCTGGATTTGACCTCAAGAGGGAGGGAGAGGGGCGACTCCGGAGGAGAGAAACGACTTCAGGAGAGGTATAATCCCCCTCCAATGAGCTGCATTCCCTCTCTTCTCCCCCCGACAGAAAATTCTAGCCCTTCATTGCTTGATCGGGAATACATTTTTTCATGTCACGGTGGCAAAAACATGAAATGGACGCCATCAGAAAGTCCAGTTTAGAAGCAATGGTTATCTCTGAAAGGTGCGCCTGGGAGTACAGGGTGTATCAGAGAAGACTGCACATTTGAATATCACAATTTGTTTGTGGGTCTTTATCATTTTTTGTTGGTTAATATTCTCCGCGATTTCCAGTTTCATTTGCCATGAAAAAAAAATTGGAAGCAACTCATCGAGCAAAGGTTGTGGAACTGTTTCTTTTCACAAAAGCCTGTGTTGATCAAGTATTGTTGATCAAGATTCCATCCTTCGAGATGTGGCAAACTGCCTGAGACGGTCTGCACTGAATTACCATTGCTACTGCTACTATGGTTTCCGGTGTTCATGCTATTCGCATTCGTCTTGGTCATTTTTCATCGCCCACAGATCTTGTATCAGGGAAATTTTTACATGCTGCAATATCTGTGGATAGATGGCGCATCATTGACTACTAACCCATGTCAAATCTCACGCTGAGCTTGCAAAATGGAACCTCCTACGAGAAAGTTCCACAATCCACGTGCGATTAGCTACTTCCTATTTTTATATGCCAGATAAAACTCCAAGCCTTGTCGAGTTTTAGTCAACAAGAAAATATTAAGAATAATTATGAATTAATATTTTCTTGTAAATTCCAAAAGTAACATTTTTCTCCTACGCACTCTATATTTGTATTGGGCTGAACAGCAGTATAGCAAATCTAATGAATCTAAATCTCAGCTCTAGAAAGTAGTGAAAGGTGATAAAAGGGATGACACAGGTGGAAACAAAAAGGCTCTTCCTTCAAAATTCCTTCTACTGTACATTCTCTTTCAAATTCATTAGAATCGTCTCTCTCGATAATCCTTCACTTACCAGTATGTACGTAACTCCAATCAGTGAAAGGGGTTGAGGGATTCAAGGCTGGATCGATGGCTTGCCATACTTCGAGGATGTTTTTGAGGAGAATGGCGCCGTTTTCCTTGTCCAGGATGTCCTCTTTCTCCACAGCCATCCCTCCAACTCGAATTCCTACTTCATCCCAAGTCGGCTTCTGCAACACAGTTGAAAACTGCGTGAGTGGAGAAGTGATTTATGCGCTCCATCTATTCTAATAATGGCGACAAGGCAAACGACTCAGATGAAAGAAAGAACAAATTCGGCTAGCATTTCATGGGTCAGAAGATCTCCTTCCTTTTTGAGACCCCGCTCTCATATCTCATTGAGACAGATTCTTCGAGTGTCCAATAAGTCTTAAGACTGGTTCAATAAAACAAAAGATATGATTTAAATTAACAAATAAATGCCTTTAATGTGTATTGTAGTCCCCTCCTGTCTTTGTTATCTTGACTGGTCCAGCAGCCACTCGACCTGCTCTTTAAGCGCCTCCTCGTCCAGCATCCCAGCCCACTGCAACGCGGCATCCTTCACCTGAAGATTATGGAAGAAAAACGCTTTTCTCGAAGTTGTTTTTCTTCCAGTTAAAGAGGAAACTGTCGCACAGATTGAAATCCGGACTGTACAGGTTTGGGAGAGCGTCGTGATGTTTCGCTAGGTCATGAAGTCCTTCGCAGCGACGGATGTGTGGGGTTCCACATTGTGCCACTGCTAAATTACTTCGTTCAGGTAGATCGGCTTCGAGAGCAAGCATCTTCCCAGATCATCTGTGTGACGAGCAAAGTCAATAATGTGGTGGGAGGCGACACCACTGAAGCAGTGGTGTCGATAGAAAAGTGCTTGTTCGGAGTAAAGTCAAGAAGGGTCTTCTCGTCAACCACGTTACGCTTGACTACTTGGAGCAGGTTCTGATCTGCTCGAAACCAGCACTTGTTGCGTTGTTTGCACAGATAGACAAAGCGCGACCCCACACATCCGCCGTTGTGAAGGACTTCATGACCCAGTATAACATCACAACGCTCTTCCAAAGCCCGTACAGCCCGAACTTCCATCTATGCGACAGGTTCCTCTATAACTGGATGAAGAGCGACTTCGAGAAAAGCGTTTTTCTTCCATCATATTCAGGTTAAGGAGGGCGCGTTGCAGTGGGCTAGGATGCTGGACGAGGACATCAAAGAGGACGTCGGGAGGCAACTGGGCCGTTGTCAATATGTCATGGACTTAGTAGGAGACTATATTACATGTTAAAGCCATTTATTTGTTAATTTTAATCTAATCGTTTGTTTGATTGAACCAGTCTCATGACTTATTGAACACACGAAGTACAATCGCCACGGATACTCGGCGAATCTAAGAGTATGCATGCTGTTCACATAAGTTTATGAATCGCTGATGAACCCTCATCACCAGAGCTCTCAGGTCACGCATATGTAGTCACATTTAAGCAAAGCGTCTACGCGCGGTTTATCTGTGTACCAGCGTCTGCTTCAATTATGAACACTTCTCACTTCCCCCTCGATGTGGTTCCACTTTTACGGTAGCTTCCACAAGGATGCTGAGAGAGAGGGAGGGGAAAAGATCGGATTGAATTCATCTGGTGAAAAAGAATTGTGACTCACGTGTAGGAACGATTCCTGGTCATCTAATCGCAGGAGGATGCTCAGGTCGTCTTCAGGCTCCGTGGGGCAGCGGATGACCTCAACACGACGTTCTTTCTCCATTTGCGTCCATAGGTTTTGATGTTCGAAAAGGTTGTCGATGATGATGAGTTGAGTCCTGGAGCGGGAGATGACCTCCAGCAGCCAGTCGTCGCTCACGTTGAAAGAGATAATGACTGAAGCTTCGCACCCACGAAAGTCCTTCAGGTGTTTCACTTGGACTAGGTCTTCACTTTTGTTTGGCCAGGTTTTCTTCACCTTCTCTAACAGTGGTTCGAGTAGGCCTTCGTCTGAAACCAAAATATATGAATTTTCGGATTCAACTTTCTGTCTGGGTTCCTTGTTCTTAAATTTGTCGTTTTGCTCGGGTTTCTCTTGTTGCTTGGATTTTCCTTGTTGCTTAGATTTCCCTTTTTTCTTGGATTTGGCCTTCTGCTTGGATATGTCTTTCTGTGCGGACTTGGCTTCATGCTGGGTTGCATCTTTCTGCTCAGATTGGTTTTTCACTTCCAAAAGTTTCTTTATTTTAACTGATGAGAGAACATTTGCTGTGATCCCACATGAACCCCTCTCGGAGCAGATATATCCAAAATGCTTTCCCGAGCAATTATTGGCTTCAATTTTGACGTATTGGACAGGAGGGCCTGGGACAATCGCTGCAGGCTTTGCAGTCACAGACAGATTCCTTGAGTTCAAGTTCAAAGAAGTTGGAGTCTCGTTTTCTCGGATGTGCTTCATTAGAACCACGTTGGTCGGTTCACACTCAAGTACAATCGCTACGCAACCTTTGTCGTTTCGCAGCATGTCTACTGTTTCCTTCACTGAGACCTTCGAATCTGAATGAGGCTTAAAAGCGAGAATGAGCTTTAATTTATTGTTTTCCAATGTCTTCACAATATGTGATGTTTCTGTCAACGGGAAAATAGGACAGTCTTCGACTACTACAACAAGGAGAGCCCACTCAGCCTTCTCTTTTCCCTCCAACATCTCCTTTTCTTCGGAAAAAGAGAAAGATAAATCGGAAGAATAGGAAGAGGAAGAAGATTCTTCTTCCTCTTCTTCGTTCTCTTTTACGGCTTTTTTTTCTTTCCCCTCCTCCTCTCTATGTTTGTTTACCTCCTTTAGGATGCTCGGGATAGAGTCGACTGTAACTGAAGAGACATTCACATTAGTTTTCGCCCTCCATCGCTGTCGCTGGATTTGGCAAAGCAAATCACCGCCGCAGTGGAGAACAAGAACCTGGCTCTTCTCTCGTCTAATGAACGCATCCACTTTCCTGGATTTTCCCGAGGCAGGGTATCCAAATATTCCAATGAGCCGCGTTTCTTGAATGAATTCCACGACTGGATCTTTCTCTATTTCACAACAATCCAGATTCAGATCCGTTCTAGAGATAGATTGCTTAGAATAATTCCACTCCCTCAGGTATAAGACGTCCTCATTCACGTCATCGTATTTTTCCCACGCCTCCTCCAGTTTTATTTTTAGGTCTTCTTCCTTCACTTCTTTTTTCTTGGTCTCCCATTTAAGATTATTTCTTACCACTTCAGGGACGAAAGAAAACTTCCCCGTTCTCCACTCTTCTTCCTCGATCACGAGGGTCTTGTTTTCTCCAGTGGTCGCAATCAATCGACAGTAGTTCTTCCACACCGAACCAGGAAAGTCGAGAATCAAAGTGACGTTCATGGGGTGGCATCCCATCATTTCCTCCTCGGTGACAACGACGAGGGGGAACGAATCCGAGGAGGCAGGCTTCCCACGGAATTTGTTCCCGTCTACCCAAAGGACAGGCAATTCAGGGTATAAGAGCATGAACACGTTGAGGAAAGCATTTCTTCTCCACTCCTCATCAATGACAGTATAAACAGGCATCTTCTTCGCTGACTCTCTGCATTCATACATTTACCGCACGCTCCGAGAGTGCTGGACTGTCTGGTCAAGTACAAACGTAGACGCTACTTCTCGGACCGTGCTCCAGTAGAGCTACTTCGCTCCTTCCGTAGGAAGCGGTAGAAGAGGGCTTAGGATCTTTGGCGAGAGCTCGGACAAGTCCAAGGAGGGCTCGGACGATACAAAGACACGCCTGGAGTAATTTCCGATGGCAAGGAATAATTCCGATATCTTTCGGGTGTTCCGCTTTATATCGTTGAGGACTATGATTTCAAACCCGGCCGGCTTGACTTGTTTGAGGGGAAAATCCCTTGTATAAGTTTGGTCATTTGGTCTAAAGCAGATAGTGATCGACTTCACATGTTTCTCTAAGTCTTCAATCCATTTCCCCCAATGGTCGGAGAGGGCTTCCGGGCTGATGATGCCCGGAAATCCAAGTGTGATGGGGACTTCATCAATGAGGACATGCTTTCCTTTTCCTTCTTTTTCTAGGAAACTCTTCAGTCTTTCTAAATCTTCCTCCATGCCCTTCTCTCTCCCGTCAACAACTTCTATCGTCTTTCTCTCTTCTGGATCTTCCGTGGCTAATAAATAAATAATCTTTCTATGTCATTCGTTATATAATAACCTCACTTCAAATGAAAACTAATCCGCAAGTTTTATTTCTTGGAAATTGTATTTTTGTCGCTCAAAATGAATTTTCAGTTCTTTTCCGAATGACAATGAAAAGCCCGCGGTCCCAAGTTGGGCCAGAGGCAAATGCTGACGTGTGGCATGTCAATCGAGCGATTAAAGGAGGTTTCGAACGAGATTCCGTATTTGTTCATGATTGGTAAACTCCCCTATCGCAGACCGATCGGAGAAACCCAATCTCCCTCAGTCTGACTAGATGTACTCAAGGCAGCAGTACTTCCTTAGATTGTCATCTTTTGTGGCTTCCGCTTTCAACACGGGATTTGAGCCGCATTGTGATTTCATCCTTCACTAATACGACTCTTTTCCCGCTATGGAAGCGCTTGTCCGTAGGACTCTTGAGTGAACATGTCTCTTATCACGCCCAAATCTATTAACCGCTAAAGGGGACCCTGACGCAGCCTCTACAATCAGAAAAAACCGAACCTTTTCATCTTCACCCTATCAAGTGAAGACATAATTTGATGCTTCCTCCACCATTAACAGGAGTCTTCTTGGACTACTTAACCTGTTTAAACAAATGAACAGAGAAATTCGAGCGTCCTCCCTTAAGCTCTCTGGGGGAAAAGATCAAGTACAGCATGTAAAGTACCTGGGTCTTAAATTAAAGAGTCACTTCCTTATCCCACTGAAATAGCGGCTACATAACCCGTTTTTCATATCGCATCAGCTGTAGGAAGCTTTTTTATTCCAATATCTGAATATTTACATAGTATAAGGGAATGCCCTTGAGGTATAAGTCTAAAGCACGCTTAATAGTTTATACCGGTATGTACCCACGAATCGAGCCTTACACGTACCATGTTTATACCCTCTTAATGTATACCCGAAATTACATATGGGAGACAGTATTTAGAAGCCGTCCAGACCATATCATGTTTTGGCCATTCTTAATGAATATGCAACTATAAATGGATTATATATAAGCCATGTATATGCCCAAACAGCATGTTTATGTTATAAATGTATCATATTCCCTTACGGGAACTCCATATTCAGATTTCGTGCGAATTATCAAATATGGCCATACATGGGTGCTTAGCTCGGAATGTGCATGGTACAAATATGGGAGAATTACATATGGGAGACAGTATTTAGAAGCCGTCCAGACCATATCATGTTTTGGCCATTCTTAATGAATATGCAACTATAAATGGATTATATATAAGCCATGTATATGCCCAAACAGCATGTTTATGTTAATTTTACGTAAAACGAATGTGAATTTTTTGTCCATTTTATATCATTTTTACGCAAACCATTGTCAAGAAAATGCCAACATGTTTGCAGAAATGTCACCTCTGTGATACGTAAACGGTGATATAAAATTAATGTAAATCTTACGCAAAATTGACATTCACGTTTGCATTCCAGCCAGCGTGTTTTCATTCATTTCACTTTAGATTTATGTTAATTTTCCCCAGGCATTCATGCGTATTTAAAGAGTCAATCATTACCATTGCAGGGAATTGATATACTGAATCTCCTATTCCTTTACGTCCTTCAGATCTCTAGGGTGGTTGGACGAGTGACAGGAGCACTCATCCTCACCAGTACTCAAGAGTACCAAAGTGACCTCCTGCTTCCTCCTCCCGTACCGGAACCTCGGGAGGAGGAGGAAATGTTCAAAGGAGCTCGCTTGCTTTTAGGATAGAGAAGATGTTGTACTCGTGGGCCTACGATTCTACTCTTCCCTAATCCCGTGCACTACTGTACTAAAAAGCTTAACTTCAGCATTTAATAATTCCCTGAGTCATATATGATAAAATAATATATAATAATTTCATGTTTTCAATATATATATTCATGGATTGCATAATAAAAACTAGAAGGATGGTAAGAAAACCTGATACTATATCAGGATGCAGGGAACAAAGTTCCATCTAGTGAGGAATCTTGGTACTGCAAGTGCAGGACGGTCAGCTAAAGTTTCATATGGATGGTGTGGTGTTAATTTTTCATAAACTTGATATCATGTGCTTCACGTCAGATGGAGTGACGTCTAGTTGATGTAAAATACACGTACACTTTGGTGACGTTAATATAGGAACGTAAATTTTACGTAAACGTGATGTCATTTTCTGGAGTGACGTCTAGTTGATGTAAAATACACGTACACTTTGGTGACGTAAATATAGGAACCTAAATTTTACGTAAACGTGATGTCATTTTCATGGCAATTGCAAGAAATTTACATTGTTTGCAACAAATTGATATCTTGTTTACGTGAAGATGCTGCTTAGGTGGTGCTTAGTTACAATGTACATGGCACTTACAAATATTAGGCATATTTTGGTCATATTTAATACAATAGATATATGAAACTATATATTCTTAATCTGCAATATAGATGGCCCCCGCATGCGTTAATAATTGAATATTGAAGCAGAGGCTCAGAGGCAATCACTCGACAATGAAACTTAAGATAGGTTTTTGTGACTCACGTCACAAGGGGAACCTCACTCCTTCTATGCATCGGGCAAGAATTACCTTGAGCCTCCTGAAGCTAATTTACGTCTCTCAACATATTCATTGATTAGAACGACTTCCTTCGGTTTGTACGTGGGAAATTATCGAGTTGAGGGTGAAAGCTTCTGCAGAATCATTCATTAGCATTTGAGGAATAAGGGAGGCATATAGCGGCGGGATGAGCGCAACCTCGTTCATATTGTGAACGAACTGCAAGATGTCTGGCCATATGGAAGGCCTCAACGAGCATGCGGGTGTATCCATGGACAGTACATGGGCTGAACAGTTTCCAACTATATTCGAAATACAGTATTTTTTCCGCATAGTTTATATTAGTGTCATATACATTGCAAACCTAGCACCATATTTGGGGGTCTATATATGAACCATATATAGTTCCATATTTATTAAGAATGGCCAAAACATGATACGGGCTGAACTATTTCCAAACAAGGCTAAATTCAGTACTGTACTATCCTATACATACGCCTGTATTTGGAAGTTCCGTAAGGGTTGGGGCATGAAAAATGTTGGCTGCTGCCCTACCGCCGAAGTGGGCCTACCTTGGCACATGGGCAGCCCACTGCGATGTGGGCCAAAGCCCACTCCTCTTGCGCCAAACGTAGGCTCAATGTTGTTTGCTACCTGGGAATGAGGGCTTACCATCGAGCAAGTTGTGATAAATATTAAAAAAATGAAATACTGAAGGAAGGATGAAATGGGAAGGGGAAGAAAACTGAATACCACAAAAAGGATGGTGAGCTGATTATGCAAGAACGTCAATTGATCTTCCACCATGCCGTCGGTTTCTTTGAACGTTTCGACCCAACGATGCGCTGTCGACTTCGATCAACCAATGTACTTGCCGCCGCAGCAAAATAAGGCAAGGGACCAAGCTCGAAGGTGCAGCGGAAAATTATTTCCCAAAGTTGCTTAATCGTTTGCACCACGATTATCAAAAAAGTATTTTTATTATTGATTGCTCCGAAAAATGATTTCAATCAAGAAGTTAAGCCTAAACCTTACGGATGATCAAGACCCAACGGTTCTGCTTGCACACATGACCACAACCGCTAATCTCGCTCCATTCCTAAGACATGTTCGTTCGTTTTTTTTCAATCTGCACTGTATACATAGATGTAGCTATATTCATTCTTAAGCATTATTGTTCTCAAAATGATCTCGTTTCGTCTCACCTTCGAAGTAATCTCGGAAATCTTGTGTGAGTTTCCCTCCAGCAAGATTCAACAGCAACACGTCACTCTTTCTTGCCAACTTCAAGACTCTCTTCTTAAGAACAAACGTCTTACCGGTTCCAGACGTGCCGGTCACCAAAAGGACCTTAGATTCTTTCCTCACAAGTTTTCTCTGTTGGGGAGTGAGAATCGCAAGCATTTTCTGCATCTGCAGGTCACATCGCACGGACAACTGAGTGGGGTTCCGTGGGAGGTCCACAGCTGATGCTGCACAAACGTAGAGGTCGAAGATATCCTTGAAGGTCTGCATTACAGTGGAATCAGGATCCCCGGACTTCTTCAACTTGATGTTGTTTAATTCCAAAAACGCATGGAAATTTCTTAGGTTATTGAGATCATCTGAGGTGAGGATTCGTGACCTGCAATCGCTGCATATAATGTGTTCTTTCAAATATGACTTTGAAATCATTGGGAAAGCTGCAAAACCTGTTAGCTTCACATTCTTGAAGCGATCATCCTTCAAGATTTCGCCACACATGGTGCGGAAAACATTGAGGTCTTTCTTAATTTGTTCTGTGGCCTTCCGAAGCCCTTTTTTAAATGTTTTTTTATTTCTTTGGCAATTTGTTGCTTTAACTTGAAAGAAAATTCCCACGATTTCCTTCCCAAACATTCCAATGCCGAAGACATCATGATCTCCAGACTTCAGGTCCTCATTGGTAAGTCTAGCATCTTTCATAAACTTTTCTTTCTGCTGTTTATTGATACCCTTGAGCAAGGTCTCCGTGAACTCATAATCCATAACTGTAAGGGATGGCACACCTTGAAATGCGCCTTTTAGATTATCGAACACCATGTAAACTGATTCCTGGGACAACGGGATGTCAATATTTTCCGTCTCTTCTTGCCTGGCTTTCTCCTTCAGTTCATTAAATGCCCGACTACTCAGTATGTACCCTTCAGGTAGGGAGTGAGCCTTCGTGTAGGCTTCAGGGTAATTTTCTTCTATATATGCGTCGGAGGCTTCCTTCAGAGATGTCCCAACACCAGCTCCAGAGTATATTTGTAGGTATTCCCGAATGTCCGAGTCTCCCATCCTTTCATAGCTTTCCAGACGCCCGAAGTGCGAATATGCTTTGCATTCCTCGCATTCTTGTGCCTGACGCGGATAGACAAAAAGGAATATTGTCATGCAAGAATCCTCGTTAATAGAATTTTAAGTTCAAAGGCAAGTAAAATCAATTTGAAACATGCCACACAATTATTTGTAGAAGAATTTTTTTAACTATGTCATTAAATAAGTATTTATTCACAGAGAAATGACTCCTAGCCTGCAAATGTAAAATAGTTAAATCTACTTTTCGTTGCCATTGATGTTAAATCATTGGTGGCCCTGTGCCAAGCTTTGGAGCTTTGCCAGGGTGACGTCATCGAAGGCAGTTTCGCCAATACGGACCACTGAATTGTGGTCCATAGAAAAGGCATACCTTTCTTCACGGGGAGGGCAAACCTTCCAATGCTAAGAGATATACATTTTTATCGAAAAAGTTCATCTGGTGCAGTTTCAGCAATTCCCCTGTTTTTTGTTACGATGTCCTATGGTAAGAATGCACGAAGATTACTTATGATTAAGCATTTTCAACTCACTTGATTGAGTGACTGGATATTAGCTGATTTACAAAAGATTTAGTAAACAAATAATAACGGTGATGGTAAATATCAGAATGAGAAAGCGAATCTACTCTCATCCGTTTCACATACATTTGAGTAAATCAAGGCAGCTCACTCACACCATCGGTGCTCCCACCATGCTGTTGAGGACTATCTCCCATATTTATGAAAGGATGCAGTCAGCAGAATTGGAGTTTTCACGCGGCATGCGCTGTTTGCTGAGAAAACCATGAGCAACAAGAAAAAAATCTGATATTTGTCCAATTCTTCATCCTAAAATACAAGATTCCTATTATTGGTAAGCGGATGCAATGCCCAGTTAGTAATTTGAACTTACCTAAATGAACATTCCCTTGCTTGTCCTGCAGAGGTACCTGGTCTACCAGGCAGGATTTCTTAAATCTTTCTGATGGAAAAAAAACACTTTTTTTGAGAGCATAAGTTTCACTTGCGTCCTGGTTAGGTGATTTACAAGTATCCCCGCCTTGACTTGTTCGTTATTCACGAATCACCTCTATAGTTTGTTTAGGGTTGTAAAACCTTTCTTGTCATTCACCGCTGAAGTTCATCACACTTGAGGTGTCTTTAATGCGGAATGCATCGAAATATTTCCAGTAAAAGGAGCGGGTGGAGTAGCACAAGAGCAAGTGATAAGAGCGTCAACCGCGCCTGGTTCAGGACTACATTATGGAATTTCAGGGTGGAGTATTCGTTACCTTAATCTTATCTGCAATAAACTTTACGGATCGTGGATTGGAACTACAGAGTGTATCGCTTCGTTTTGCGACATGGCCAGCCATGATAGAGACCAAACAATGCAGGGAACTCGATTTTTTCCAAATAAGTTTAATCCAGAAGTACTGTACAATCTGCATCTTACTCATATATAGTTCCATATTTATTAAGAATGGCCAAAACATGATACGGGCTGAACTATTTCCAAACAAGGCTAAATTCAGTACTGTACAATCCTATACATACGCCTGTATTTGGAAGTTCCGTGAGGGTTGGGGCATGAAAAATGTTGGCTGCTGCCCTACCGCCGAAGTGGGCCTAACTTGGCACATGGGCAGCCCACTGCGATGTGGGCCAAAGCTCATCCTCTTGCGCCCAACGTAGGCTCAATGTTGTTTGCTACCTGGGAATGAGGGCTTACCATCGAGCAAGTTGTGATAAATATTTAAAAAATGAAATACTGAAGGAAGGATGAAATGGGAATGGGAAGAAAACTGATGACCACAAAAAGGATGGTGAGCTGATTATGCAAGAACGTCAATTGATCGTCCACGATGCCGTCGGTTTCTTTGAACGTTTCGACCCAGTGATGCGCTGTCGACTTCGATCAACCAATGTACTTGCCGCAGCAGCAAAGTAAGGCAAGGGACCAAGCTCGAAGGTGCAGCGGAAAACTATTTCCCAAAGTTGCTTAATCGTTTGCACCACGATTATCAAAAAAGTATTTTTATTATTGATTGCTTCGAAAAATGATTTCAATCAAGAAGTTAAGCCTAAACCTTACGGATGATCAAGACCCAACGGTTCTGCTTGCACACATGACCACAACCGCTAATCTCGCTCCATTCCTAAGACATGTTCGTTCGTTTTTTTTTAATCTGCACTGTATACATAGATGTAGCTATATTCATTCTTAAGCATTATTGTTCTCAAAATGATATCGTTTCGTCTCACCTTCGAAGTCATCTCGGAAATCTTGTGTGAGTTTCCCTCCAGGAAGATTCAACAGCAACACGTCACTCTTTGTTGCCAACTTCAAGGCTCTCTCCTTAAGAACAAACGTCTTACCAGTTCCAGACGTGCCGGTCACCAAAAGGACCTTAGATTCATTCCTCACAAGGTCTCTCTGTTGGGGAGTGAGAATCGCGAGCATTTTCTGCATCTGCAGGTCACATCGCACGGACAACTGAGTGGGGTTCCGTGGGAGGTCCACAGCTGATGCTGCACAAACGTAGAGGTCGAAGATATCCTTGAAGGTCTGCATTACAGGGGAATCGGGATCCCAGGACTTCTTCAACTTGATGTCGTTTAATTCCAAAAACGCCTGGAAATCTCTTAGGCCATTGAGATCATCTGAGGTGAGGATTCGTGACCTGCAATCGCTGCATGTAATGAGTTCTTCTTTCAAATATGACTTTGAAATCATTGGGAAAGCTGCAAAACCTGTTAGCTTCACATTATCCTTCAAGAATTTGCCACACATGGTGCGGAAAACAGTGAGGTCTTTCTCAATTTGCTCAGTGGCTTTGGTAAGAGAATCAAGAAATGTTCTTCGCTTTGCTAAATTTGTTGTTGCCTTAACTTGAAAGAAAATGCCCACGATATCCTTTCCAGACACTCCAACGCCGAAGACATCATGATCACCAGATGCCATATCCATTTCAGTAACTCCGAAGTTCTTGATGAATTTGTTCCTTTGCTCTTTATTGATACCCTTGAGCAAGGTGTTCGTGAACACATAATCCATAACTGTAAGGGATGGCACCCCTTGAAATGCGCCTTTTAGATTATTGAACACCATGTAAACTGATTCCTCGGGCAATGGGATGCCAATATTTTCCGTCTCTTCTTGCCTGGCTTTCTCCTTCAGTTCATTAAATAGCCGACTACTCAGTATGAACCCTTCAGGTAGGGAGTAAGCCTTCGTGTAGGCTTCAGGGTAATATTCTTTTATATATACGTCGGAGGCTTCCTTCAGAGATGTCCCAACACCAGCTCCAGAGTATATTTGTAGGTATTCCCGAATGTCCAAGTCTCCCCTCCTTTTATAGCTTTGCAGACGCCCTAAGTGCGAATATGCTTTGCATTTCTCGCATTCTTGTGCCTGACGCGGATAGACAAAAAGGAAAATTGTCATGCAAGAATCCTCGTTAATAGAATTTTAAGTTCAAAGGCAAGTAAAATCAATTTGAAACATGCCACACAATTATTTGTAGAGGAATTTTTTTAACTATGTCATTAAATAAGTATTTATTCACAGAGAAATGACTCCTAGCCTGCAAATGTAAAATAGTTAAATCTACTTTTCGTTGCCATTGATGTTAAATCATTGGTGGCCCTGTGCCAAGCTTTGGAGCTTTGCCAAGGTGACGTCATCGAAGGCAGTTTCGCCAATACGGTCCACTGAATCGTGGTCCATAGAAAAGGCATGCCTTTCTTCACGGGGAGGGTAAACCCTCCAATGCTAAGAGATATACATTTTTATCGAAAAAGTTCATCTGGTGCCGTTTCAGCAATTCCCCTGTTTTTTGTTACGATGTCCTATGGTAAGAATGCACGAAGATTACTTATGATTAAGCATTTGCAACTCACTTGATTGAGTGACTGGATATTAGCTGATTTACAAAAGATTTAGCAAACAAATAACGGTGATGGTAAATATCAGAATGAGAAAGCGAATCTACTCTCATCCATTTCACATACATTTGAGTAAATCAAGGCAGCTCACTCACACCATCAGTGCTCCCACCATGCTGTTGAGGACTATCTCCCATATTTATGAAAGGATGCAGTCAGCAGAATTGGAGTTTTCACGCGGCATGCGCTTTTTGCTGAGAAAACCATGAGCAACAAGAAAAAAATCTGATATTTGTCCAATTCTTCATCCTAAAATATAAGATTCCTATTATTGGTAAGCGGATGCAATGCCCAGTTAGTAATTTGAACTTACCTAAATGAACATTACCTTGCTTGTCCTGCAGAGGTACCTGGTCTACCAGGCAGGATTTCTTAAATCTTTCTGATGGAAACAAAACACTTTTTTTGAGAGTAAAAGTTTCACTTGCGTCCTAACATTCAGGCCTTAGGTGATTTACAAGTATCCCCGCCTTGACTTGTTCGTTATTCACGAATCACTTCTATAGTTTGTTTAGGGTTGTAAAACCTTTCTTGTCATTCACCGCTGAAGTTCATCACACTTGAGGCGTCTTTAATGCGGAATGCATCGAAATATTTCCAGTAAAAGGAGCGGGTGGAGTAGCACAAGATCAAGTGATAAGAGCGTCAACCGCGCCTGGTTCAGGACTACATTATGGAGTTCCAGGGTGGAGTATACGTTACCTTAATCTTATCTGGATAAACTTTACGGATCGTGGCTTGGAACTACAGAGTGTATCGCTTCGTTTTGCGACATGGCCAGCCATGATAGAGACCAAACAATGCAGGGAACTCGATTTTTTCCAAATAAGTTTAATCCAGAAGTACTGTACAATCTGCATCTTACCATGAATATCCTGCGCTCTGACTAAAATTAATGTGAAATACCTGCCTTTCCCAATACTCGCAGGCTCATGAAGCAAATTGTTGTACTGGACTTCATAAACTATATATACGAAAGAGAATGAAGTTGTGGCCAAATTTTAACGACAGAATCTGGAAATTTGTTCATTTTATTAAGTTCATTGCACTTCATCAGTGCGTATCGACAGTATACAAAACGTTCATCTGACAGATGGATTTAGAACTAGGTGGGTGTCCCCTTAGGCGTATTAACACTTGTTGGATTAATGTCCACCTGCCTAAAACTCCACCCGTGTCAGATGAACCTGGCTCGAGAAACATGAGCGCTATGACCAAGTGGATTTACAAATCTTCCTTTACCTGCTTCCGAATCTACCTCCTATCTACCTCGTCGTTCAGCCAAGTGAATATAATAATGGATAACGTTTTGTAAGAGGAATACTGTAGTAATTGCTTTGAGAGGGCAAAATATGGTGATGCAAGTTCTTCACGCACTAAAAAAGCAAATTCTTCGTATTGGAAATAAGAGCTAGAAATTACAAATAGCGGCACCTAGCAAATATTTCCTTCTCCTTCTCCTTTACTCTTTACTGTAATTGTGTATTACCCACGCCTACCTGTGGATTTGCAATAAACAATTGGAACTCTAGTTCCAATCGATTACTGCAAATTCTCTCCATTCAAATGGAAATAAACGTTTACGAAAAGTATTTAGGCTTGAACAGGATGAAGAGCCTCTATGTAAAAAAGAAATTCTTGAATATCTGGACTCCTGAAGAACATAAGCTTAGACATGTCGGAAATGAGCGCAATTTCAAATCCTTTCCTGAGCAGGTCTACAATTCTCAGGAAACTAATGTTTCTCACCGTAGTAATTTCGCAAAGGGATGAAAAAGTGTGATGACTGTCATAGTTTCCCTACCCATGATGGTGTGACTCTTGATTTATTTTTAGAAAGGTATAAAAAAATGGCATTCGATTCCTCGCACCAACTGTCCAAGACCGAATCGCTGGGTAAAGGAGATTCAGTATGACATGGGGAGAAGCACGGTGGCGATGTTTACTTTCGCAATCATCTTCAGACCAGCGGACGCGCTCTTGCACATTCGCTTAGAAGGACCTAACAGAAAGTGAAAGGAGTAATATCCGATGTATTTCTGTGAGGGAGCAGACAGTTCCAAGTAGTTCGAAGCCTCCAAGCAGGAAGCTTCCGAGAACACAGCAGCTTCTGCTCCCCATGCAATATGGAGTCTTACTTCGTCATGTTGTAACCACGATGCAAGGCTGCATATTACACTGGAGGACATCAGTCACGGTCTCATTCTGGCGGGCCATCGTCTTGGAACTCGTTGAACTTCGTCAGATCTTATGTCTAGGGATGTGCTTCTCTTGTAGAAAGTGCCGTTGTGCTTTGTAGAGTTTGAATGTGATACCTTGTTGACCATTGCTACTGTTGAAGCACCTGTTGTGATAGAAATGGTTTCCTCTTGATGATCTTGTCTCGAAGGATCGAGTAAGAAAACCCATAAAATGTGAGACAACACTTCGAAACGACAGTCATCAAGGACGTAATGATGGTGAGGAGGCATGCCACCCGTTCCTGAATTTGTTGGTATTCTTCGTTATTGCTATGCAAAATTGCAAAGCAAAATTCGTGCTCATAATGTTTTTTTTTCCTTAAGTAAAACCTCCCGTGTTGAATGAGTTTGAGCAAATAATTCACTCTGTATTAATTATTCTTAAAATGCATCTCCATTCCAACTCATCCAGACTTCTTTGGGAGACTTAAATGTTGTCTTCTGTACTGACGCTCAAGAAGGCTTTTCATGATAAATAATAGCATTTTGATTTTATTTCAACATATTTCCAGACGAGATGGAATTTTTTTTGTTTTAAACTTCACATTAGAATAAAACTAATTGAAGACAAGTTTTCCTTTCGATAAAAGATGAGTAAATTTTGAAGGAATTTTGAATACTCGTCAAAAGTCTCCTACCCCCAGAAAGTTTCATAAAATCTTATGAGACCACAATAAATAGAGAAGACCATGAAGTATCCGCCTTAAACCGAACCATGGAACTTGTAGTACCTCGAAACCTATTACTTTCTCACAGCTAATGAATCCATAGAAGGCGATAGCAAATGCAATGCGTAAGTGACTGTAATGGATCCCTCACAAATACCAATGGGACTGTATTACACGGAAATAACAACAACATATAAAGAGAAGTTAATACTTGACCTGTGACGTATCGAAGTGCTTATAACTTCTTGTAAATGAAGTCTTCATTCACAAATGAAATTCTTCCCTTACGAAAATGTCTTTCAGGATTCCTATATATTCTTTTAGAAAAATATAGGAATATTATATGAAGGACCTATATGGAACCCTATATAGGAATCCTATTTAAGGAACCCCAAATAGACCTATAGGGTCTATGAGGTTCCCTATAGGACGCAAAGGGTTCCATATGGAAACCGTTGGGTTCCCTCTAGGGCCTATATGGAACCATATGGGGCCTATAGGATTCCGTNACTGTAGTAATTGCTTTGAGAGGGCAAAATATGGTGATGCAAGTTCTTCACGCACTAAAAAAGCAAATTCTTCGTATTGGAAATAAGAGCTAGAAATTACAAATAGCGGCACCTAGCAAATATTTCCTTCTCCTTCTCCTTTACTCTTTACTATAATTGTGTATTACCCACGCCTACCTGTGGATTTGCAATAATCAATTGGAACTCTAGTTCCAATCGATTACTGCAAATTCTCTCCATTCAAATGGAAATAAACGTTTATGAAAAGTATTTAGGCTTGAACAGGATGAAGAGCCTCTATGTAAAAAAGAAATTCTTGAATATCTGGACTCCTGAAGAACATAAGCTTAGACATGTCGGAAATGAGAGCAATTTCAAATCCTTTCCTGAGATGGTCTACAATTCTCAGGAAATTAATGTTTCTCACCGTAGTAATTTCGCAAAGGGATGAAAAAGTGTGATGACTGTCATAGTTTCCCTACCCATGATGGTGTGACTCTTGATTTATTTTTAGAAAGGTATAAAAAAAAATGGCATTCGATTCCTCGCACCAACTGTCCAAGACCGAATCGCTGGGTAAAGGAGATTCAGTATGACATGGGGAGAAGCACGGTGGCGATGTTTACTTTCGCAATCATCTTCAGACCAGCGGACGCGCTCTTGCACATTCGCTTAGAAGGACCTAACAGAAAGTGAAAGGAGTAATATCCGATGTATTTCTGTGAGGGAGCAGACAGTTCCAAGTAGTTCGAAGCCTCCAAGCAGGAAGCTTCCGAGAACACAGCAGCTTCTGCTCCCCATGCAATATGGAGTCTTACTTCGTCATGTTGTAACCACGATGCAAGGCTGCATATTACACTGGAGGACATCAGTCACGGTCTCATTCTGGCGGGCCATCGTCTTGGAACTCGTTGAACTTCGTCAGATCTTATGTCTAGGGATGTGCTTCTCTTGTAGAAAGTGCCGTTGTGCTTTGTAGAGTTTGAATGTGATACCTTGTTGACCATTGCTACTGTTGAAGCACCTGTTGTGATAGAAATGGTTTCCTCTTGATGATCTTGTCTCGAAGGATCGAGTAAGAAAACCCATAAAATGTGAGACAACACTTCGAAACGACAGTCATCAAGGACGTAATGATGGTGAGGAGGCATGCCACCCGTTCCTGAATTTGTTGGTATTCTTCGTTATTGCTATGCAAAATTGCAAAGCAAAATTCGTGCTCATAATGTTTTTTTTTCCTTAAGTAAAACCTCCCGTGTTGAATGAGTTTGAGCAAATAATTCACTCTGTATTAATTATTCTTAAAATGCATCTCCATTCCAACTCATCCAGACTTCTTTGGGAGACTTAAATGTTGTCTTCTGTACTGACGCTCAAGAAGGCTTTTCATGATAAATAATAGCATTTTGATTTTATTTCAACATATTTCCAGACGAGATGGAATTTTTTTTGTTTTAAACTTCACATTAGAATAAAACTAATTGAAGACAAGTTTTCCTTTCGATAAAAGATGAGTAAATTTTGAAGGAATTTTGAATACTCGTCAAAAGTCTCCTACCCCCAGAAAGTTTCATAAAATCTTATGAGACCACAATAAATAGAGAAGACCATGAAGTATCCGCCTTAAACCGAACCATGGAACTTGTAGTACCTCGAAACCTATTACTTTCTCACAGCTAATGAATCCATAGAAGGCGATAGCAAATGCAATGCGTAAGTGACTGTAATGGATCCCTCACAAATACCAATGGGACTGTATTACACGGAAATAACAACAACATATAAAGAGAAGTTAATACTTGACCTGTGACGTATCGAAGTGCTTATAA